TTAAACACTGATATTATGAAGTTAAAAGCTTCTTTAGAGGTATATGTTACTAAACTGATATCCATCTTTAAAATGCTCAGGCTTTCAGTTCATTATCAGCAATAATATTCCTAAACATGGTTTTTCGAATAAACTCAAGAAAAAGCTGGAGTGAATTTCAAGGCTTGAGTGCTGCTGCCATCTACATGGCAAGAAGACTATAAACCAAAACAAACAACAAAAATATGTATGTTACATTTTCTGGGCAGAGCTGCAGGTCTGTAGGTCAGTGTGATTATAAAAAATAAAGGTCTGAAACTAAACAGAATCTTTTATTACCCTGAGTTTCTGTGTGGAAGATTCATGACAATTTGGGTTCCCCAGCTCCTTGTTATCAAAAAGATTGCACATTATTTAATAACATTTGATACTAAATAAGGAAAATATTACTGTTTTACTAGTGTTGCATATTGTTAATATTTTCTGATGAGTATTATGCTTTCAAATGCTAGGAAAAAAAAACCAAGAAAGAATATCTCTCAGTTGCTGTAAAACTGGAGAGAGAAATGTACTTAATGAAACAACTCATACTACTTATATCTTTTGCTTATTCTGGTGGTGCTATTTTTTCACAACTGTCTTATTGAGAGTATTGCGGAGGAAGAAAAACAGGTTTTATCACTATATTTACAAGCCACAATGTAAATTCAGACTGCAGAGCTCTGCATTCTCAAGCTAAGGCTTCTAGAAATGCATGAAAGAAAAAGTGTAAATAAAGCCGTACTGTGTAAGAATTCTTGTTAAATGCACAGTCCACTCTAAACAACTCTGCATATGTTTGCTAAGTTTCATAATCTTGTTTAGCAGCTTGCACTGCTTCACCTTGACATCTGTGTTTGTACTTACCCATCACATCATATCCAGGGCACTCAGATTCATCTGAAGATAGGGAAGGTAGTCCTGATGTGATGTGAATCTGTCCCGCAGCAAAGCTCTCGGACACACTTTAGACTTTCCAGCAGGTGTCATTCAAGAAACAAACTTCCCGTGGACCCCAATAAGACAATCTTGGGTTACTGTGTGAATTTTATGTTGCATCCAATTTCAGTATTACTTCTTCAAAAATGATATTGATGATTTTTCCCTTTGGGTATCTATGAATTCAAATGATAACCCAACTCAAATGCTAATGCTAAGAGCTTTGCCTAGGAATTCAAACCGTATATCCTATGAGGAAGGGAAGAGGGGAAGACCATCCCTTGAAATTTCTCTGCATCCTTTTCTCACGCAAGAATGGCCTGCAAAGTCCAGCAGAAATATCCATTAGGAGGAGCAGGACTTTGTCTTTGCAGATGTCCATCAGGAACGTGCATGCAATGCTATTCAGCATTGGCACAGTGACTCTGAGGATTGTGCTGGAGCTCACTGCCCCAGTCTGCCTTCAGAGAACAAGCTCTTTCAACAGGAGCAAAAACCTGGAGGGAGGTAATGCTACTTGCTCAATCTGTCCCATTCTTTTCTGAGTTTTCAGCTCAGTCAGACTGGCAAAATCATTTCCCTTGCTAGACTTCTGGGGTTGCCTGGAGCTTGTAGCCCTGTTGCATAGTGGTTTTGTTAAAGAGTCTCTTTGTTTTAAAGAAACACTGAATCTCATATATATAGTGCAAGTCCCATATGCCAATTTGTTTTCAGAACTTCTTTCATTGGATTGGGGAAGGGCATTACTCAACAAAATCCAACCCCAAAATGGAAACAGTTTATTTCAATGATCAAATTTAAGATATAATTAAAATTTCACAAGAGATTTCAAAATATAATGTTTGCATTTGGAGCCATAAATGAACAGTTGAGATTTTAGGGAGGTTGACCATTTATGATCAGTGACTGTTTGTCAAGTACAAATTATTTGGAAAACTCAAAATCCCTCACATAAAAGAGATGTCAATGAGCTTAGGTTTGGGCTTATACTAAACCAGTAAGTGACTTTTATATATTTTTTAAAATAATATAATGAATTATACATATAATGTAAAAATGCATATAGGATTTGAAAGCTGCAAATCTGTGTCCTAGAAAGCCCCCTGAGCATCCCAA